CCATATCTGTATAGGTTTGTGAATTGTCAGTTGTTGTGGTAGTACAGATCCTGCCTCCTGTCCTGCGTCGTTCTCGCTACACTGGTGCCGCGACCAATAAGGATGAAACGGACTTGGCCAGCGCAATTCGCGAATAGGGAGGTGAAGACATGGCTTGATGAATTTGAGGCCATCGCCGCATGCAACAGAGACAAAGGTAACGCCAATTTTCTAACTGCTTTGAACACCCAGTTGGAGGAAAAAGCAAAGGCGGTGTATTTGCTCACTCGGAAGGCCAATTCCGGCTGTTCGTTCGCTGAGATGAGGGCTGTATTGTGTGCAGAATTTGGAAAGGGAAGCGATGGACAATGAACATTAGAGCAGTTTCACTTAGTCAGATGGGAGGAGCAGGAGGATTTGATGGTGTTTTCCAGCAGCTGGACAGGCATCTGGCGATTGGACTTCCCGAGTTAAAGGGTAACGCAAGAGAACGGCTACTCCAACAGTAATTTGTGCCAAGCCTGCCGGATCCACTTCATGACAAGGTGAAATTGGCAGCGATGGTTGGAGAGAGAGCGACGGAGGATTTGGTGACCCTTGACCAGAACTTGTCGAAGCGAGTGACAATGAGGAGAGTCCAGCATTCGGAGTTGGTAGACAGTGTAAGCCAAATGTCCCGAATGGTGGAGAAGCTGTTGGCGAGGGAGACTCCTGGAGCGATTTCACAGCACAATGCACATGGAAGCCGGAACAGTTGACGCTGATTCCGATGTAATCAGATGGGTCATGTGGATAGATCCTGCACCAAGTGCAATTTGTACCATTCGTTCTCTCTATCCTGGCTGAGTAGGTGACGGGTACTGGTCGTCAAGGTGACTATTGATGTGCCGGTCCGGGCCATAGTGGACACCGGGGCGCGCGAATGTCCATTACGAAGATGTTCGAAGCACTTCCAGTGACTCAGTCCTCGATCGTGATGCAAACCGTCGGTGGACATGGTATGACGGTGACGGGCACACAGCGGTTGCGAATCAGGATAGGAGAAACGCTCATCAGCCATGCTATGTTCGTCGTGGAGGAGACAACTGAAACAAGCATCAGCAACGACATCTGCAAACTGATCGGTGCCGAAATTGAGCTGAGAAACGATTTGGTAATCATAGGCAACGAGGCGATTGAGAGGAACACTGGGTGAGTAGATTGATTAGGTGTCTTCAAGGTCCTATCTGATTGTCAGAACTCTGAAATTCGGAGTGTACTGAGCACAAATACCCACCTATTCACGGACGAAGTTGATGACTACGGATTCTGCAGCTGGATGGAACATCGAATGCCATTAATCCCTGGAGTGCAAACCGATCTTCAGAAGAATACCGCAGAATGCGCTGACGGAAATACGGAAACAGGTAGCATAGATGGAAGCGAAAGGAATCATCAGGCGAACACAGCCCGTATTCATCACCCGTGCTATTGACGAAAATCGCCGACGGTACCAATGGATTTTGCATTGATTTCAGAGAACTGAACAGTGTGACAACGAAGGATGCGTTTCTGGTGACCCAGACAGAAGAACTTTTTCCAGCCTTCACAGCGCCAAGCGGTTATCTTTGATAGACCTCCGATTGGGATATTAGCATCTGCCTATCATAGAGGTAGACCGCCACAAGACGGCTTTCAGTGTAGATGGCTAGCAGTACGACTTTCTCAGAAGGCCGTTTGGATTAGGTAACGCCCCAGGTACATTCAGACGCCCATTGCTAATGGTGCTGGTAAAACTACAAGGTGTGATTGTCTACGGTGATGACAACATCGTCTTCTCCGAGGCAGAGCGCGATCATGGTACCAGACTTACAGCAGTACTACAAAGACTGGAAGTAGCTGGTATGCAACAGTCTCAAGAAGTAACAAATTGCTCGGAAGTCGATTGTATGTCCGGGCCACGTTGTTGGTAATGGTCAAGTCCATCTGCTTCTGGAGAAATGTGAGACGATTAAGAGGTTTGCAGTGCCAAAATCCAAGCGTCAGATCCGTTCCTTCCTGGGAATGGTGGCATATGAATCGAAGTTTGTGCCTCATTTTGCAGAGAGGATCAGCCGGTTGTTAAAGCTGCTTCACAAAGACGAACCTTTCGTGTGGAAAGTCGAACAGGATCAAGCCTTTAACTGCTTAAAGGCATGCATAGCAGAAGCCCCAACATGCCTACGGCTACCTAATCCTGATAAGAGATTCACTGTGGCAGTTGACGCAATCAATATGTCAATCGGTGCGGTATTGTTCCAACCAGCTGTGGTGATGGAATATACGAGTATAGTAATGACAGTGGCGTAGCAGTAGTATTCCACGACGAAAAACGAACTTCTGATCATCATGTAGCCCTTGAATAAGTGGAGAACTTGTCTCCTGAAGACTGAATTCTGGGTGCTCACTGACCATAAGCAGCTTTCATGGTTGATGACAATGAAAGACCCAAGCGGATGTCTTGCGCAGTGGGAATACCGACTGTAAGAATTCAACTTCAGAATCCAGCATGTAGACGGAAGGCAGAATATACTACCCGATATGTTGTCACGCTCCTCGTTGGACGACCTCATGCCAGACAACGCTATACCGGTGTGTGCGGTCACAGTGGAGGAGAGGAACCTGCTGGGCCATGAAAGAAATGTGAATTCGGGAAGCTAGTTTGCTCTCACTTACAGGATGACACCAAACCAAAGGCCACATCAGGATAGGGGGAGAAACTCTTTAGGATCTGGGACAGACTGTGGCTCGAAAATGGTAATGTGGGGGTTGCGACAGACGGAAGGAAACTACCATTTATTCCGCAGAATCTGCGAGAGCAGGTGATGCGAATAACTAATGATGGCGCCCATATGGAATTCTAAAGGGTCTTTGAACTGTTACGGTGGAAAGTGTTTTGGTCTAAAATGAGGAAGGACGTCGCAACACACATCCACGGATGTCCAAATTATCAGACGAGTCGCGAGATGGATGCACCGAGATCACCGATGTGCTCGATGGAAGTTAATGAGCCACTTCAGCGTTGGGGACTGGATGTCTTTGGGCCCTTACCAGTGAGTCCACCAGGAAATAGATACGTTCTAGGGATGATTGACCAGTTCACGCGTTGGGTGGAAGTCATACCAGTCATGGATCAGACAGACGAGACTGTGTCTCAGGCATTCGAATTCAACGTGCAAACAAGGAATGGAATACCACAATGTGTTATCACCGACCAAGGACCCAGCTTCGAGTCGAAATCGTTTAGGACGGTTTTGGACAAGTGGGGCATCGAGAGGCGACGCACTTCACCTTACCACTCGCAGGTCAACGGAATGACAAAACGCTTCAACCGCCCCATGAAGACGTGGATAAAGTGCGCGGAGTTTACATGGGAGGAAGCTTTACTTGAAGTTCTGCTTACGTATCGGACCAGCATGCAGTTGACCACCAAGAATTCACCATTCGAAGTACAGTGACACTATACTATACTATACTATACACGTACAGTAACTCGAGGGCCCCTCTCTATATGCTACATCTAGAGCGAAAGGGCTCTGGTCCAGGTTGACTGCCGGTTATGTTGGATCGACTAGTCAATCCACAGCTCTGGCTACTGACGAATCAAAGGTACTTAATTGGGCATTTGGCTACCGGTGAGGAATTTACATTACCTACGGTGTAGAGTCTGGTTGACAAGGTCAACCCTCTGCGTGCCAATAACATACTCTGTAGCATTGACCACGTGGGCAAAAATGTCATATTGGTCTCCTAAAGTTCCTCGCTGCGCTCCTTACCTCATGTAGTCCGTTCATCGACACTTGATAAGCAACAACACTTCCTGTCATCAACTTGTGTCTTTGAGTTGCCTCTGATTAATTCAAGCTAGTCGTTCTCCATAGTAATCCTTCCAGACTTACAGTATAACGAATTCTCCAGGATTCCGTGGACAGCACGTTGCTAGACATACGGCAAACACTGAAGCAGCGCAGCAGTAAACATTTCTGTAAATTTAAATTGGATGGCATTTTGAACCCGCAAATAGAATATCAGATGTTTGGTGGTAGAGACCTTCAATAACGCTGAATGAAGTACAACCATTCGCAACCCGCAGAGCACGATCTGGAGTGTGCAGTTGCGCATCAACTAAGTAGACAACGCGTTATGTTCACTTTTGCACACTTTGCTAAGAGCAAGAATTCACGGTAGCGTTTCACGAATCTTCCACGCGAAAATTCAAGTTGAATTATCAGATGAAAATAAAATAGATCTCTTTATATAAGCATTTAAACGTCTCCTATCTTGCTATCCAAAGTACCTTATTTTCGTTAATGGAATCGCTACCTACGATGCAGTTCACTATATGTGTAACTAAGACAGCACACGCTGACGTGTGGTGACAACATAGTTATTCTTTGCATCAGATGCAAATGGTGATGTTGAGCGAACGGCTGCTAAAGCGAAATATATATGTGTATATGGTTGCACACAAACTAACAAGCATATATGCCACTTTTCGACAGCCAGCGTTTGGAACTAACAGCTGGAGAGAAAGTACGAAATAGTACATTAAACAAGAACATGTGGATATCGGTATAGATGTAAAATTTGTGTAATAAATTGCTGGTTGCATCCTAAACACCACACACCACAGCCTTGTAGGAGGCCTTCTAGCTGGAGGATCCGTGGAACGCTACCGGAAACTATCGCCCCTATTTGAACATTGGTCATTAATCTCGATGCTTCTAAGTGAAAACAATTTGTTTTTTTGGAGGACGTTGTCTGTACACTGGAAATAGACTGATCGGCCATAATCATGCACAGGGGTCAGCGGAGCGGCCACTTTAGTCATCCGACGCGAACCAGGATAGCCCGTAGCGAATCACCTCAGCCTATCGGCTAACTGATCCGAACAGTGGGCACAAATCAACATGTGATGGACTCCTATTGGTCGGATCACGCTCAAGGTCTTCTGAATCATTCATTGAGAGTAACGTGTCTAGCCCAGATACTGTCAGTTCAGTGGGCAAATGTCATGGTCTCTGCACCGGAATCGGTTGGGCCAGACACTACTCAGCATTCAGATGTCCCGATCTGTCGTACAATGTGCGCTTATCCCATGGAGTTAACTACCTCACTGGCGGCGCATGAGGATATAGACCGACAGATGTGGCAAGGTGAGCATTTTTTCTTCTACCCATGAAAAGTACTAATGCCCACGGTTAACCACAATGTTTTACGCCATAAGCACAGTTCACTGTGATCTAACGGTAGCATTCATTGTGCTTTCTAAGGAGGGGATTCTCAGCATTTCTGCTAGTTCGATCTGAGGGACTTTCGCATATTTCTAACTGATTTTATTCGCAATGCCTTTGTAGATGTTTTCCAACAACAATTGTGTGATGAACAGTCAACCAAATAGGACGTGTGGTCTTTCAGCTGCTTTTGTGGAATACATTTCTTCTTTATGCAGGTGACGCAGTGAGTATTGAAAGTCTGCTCCCTGCGCAATACTTGCCCACTTGCGACCCCCGCGTTGCTCTTACAGTCGCTCGATTCGGTGAATGTTTGCAGCTTAATCTTCTTCACTGTGTCGAGCGTGTTCAACAGTAATTCTAAAGGACATGTCCCATGGGCCACGTTATGAGGGCAACCTTGTGTTTTTCTTGGAACCAGACTCGAATCGGACTCTAGTATTGGTTCATAGGGTAACAAACTGTCCTGCCATATTGGCTGATAACCAATTTGTTTTTCGCTAGTTCCTCGGGAATTATCTGTGCACAATGTAGGCCTAAGTATAAGTACCCGTCATCGTGTTACGTGTTTTATGACCATTCAGCCTATGGAGGGCTTCCGACTACTAACTCCTCTGCTCCATTCGGCACTGTGTGGTACCTCATTCATGCGCACCATGTTTTTACCAACGTGTTCCACTGATCCTTTGAACCTACTCCTAAGCGGTCCATGGCATGGCAACTTTTCGCAAACCAACATAAATTTCGATGATGGGACGTGGTGGCGTGCGTTCTTATATTGGCGGGTTAGAGGCTTGGGGACAGTATTTCTTGGTATCGGGAATTCCATCATTGTAGCACGCTGGTTACAAGACATGAAGACTACGAGCACATCAATAGTTGGAAAAGCTTATGGGTATGAATGGTGCTCGCGCTGAATGCTAGAGGGGCTATGTGAACCAATTCCTTTATAACATATTTTCCAGGTTAGTGGGATCATTTCGAATCACACGTGTGAACAGTGCGACCCACAGTCTCAATATTTACCACAATTCACGTTGAAGTGAACCGCGTTCAAATCGGTCCATGTGATCACATCTGACGCAACTGCCTCTTGGGTGTTGTCCGCTCGTAGGAATGCGATACGTACCAGGGACCGTTGGAATGTCAGACAAAAAACCATTGTATTGCTTTTATTCAAATATGTCAATCTACCATTGCACTGTTTCTTACATAATATGAATAAACATTATGTAAAGGTCGAACGAACTAATCCTGACCACCCCTTTTTTACGTGCCCAATAAATACAGGCCAGTTGAAACTTGGGATACACATCGCAAATCGCACCATATATGTAAAAGGTGAGCACGTTTCAAACCATATTTTCACTTTTTTATAACAACTGTTAACCTCAGCTTCTCCACGAGTTGTGTGTAGTATGAGGACCAGCGCTGTACACCTATACCACAGCTATGAGGCGCTAGACAACAATTTATGGAAACAGCAGCACGCTTGAGCCTGTCGTGTAAAATACGCCTAGGAAGTCCTCCCCACAGCTTTTTGCGTCCCTAATGATTCGCAAGCAAAGCCATCTAGAGGGCTTTGAGTATATGCATGCATCGAGGAGCTTTGACGATGACTTGGATGCGCCAAAACGGCTGCCAAGCCAACCGGGGGCAACACCCATGTAAAGTAGAGAAAATATTCTACCATCAGACAAGTTCGCGCGTCATACTTCAGTACAGCACAGAATCCCTAGTTCACTACAGCTGTGTCGTTCAAGCTATGACATGTTTATTACTCATATGCAAGCGTTCGTCACCTATTAAATAATAATAATACGGTATATTTTCTCATGGTACGGAGAAACCGAGCCCATATTTAGAGTGTAACATGCTCAGGCTTGCGAGGCTGTCAATGGCTTGGTTTTACGGTTACAATAGGGTTGTTTTTACGATTATTTCCACTTGGCTTTGGTCGCCGTATGCTACCAGTTCGCGGGTATTCGCATTTAGTTGTCTTCGATGCAGGTTGGTAGTGCCATGATGGAGGAGGGGAAGCAGTATGAAAAGGATGAAGCAGTTAGAGTCACCAATCAAAATCACTATACAATCTTACTTACCAGACTGGAGTAATACAGTTGGAGGTTTTTGTGAGTAGCAAGATAGGGAGTTGCGAAAAGATAGGCTATATTTAGATAACCCCAGTGGATCATCAAACTCAAGTTGCTTTAGCAGAATACTAGACAGTATTCACGTCGTAGGGATTTAAGGCATAGAGTGGCGTCTAGACATTCCTAAGTCTAATCATGGAATAGACCTAATCAAGATGCGTTTTGGGATGCCAGATGGTTAAGATGCTGGGTGAGCTCAGTTGCATTCCTTTCAGCCTTCACTTAAAGATGGATATTTAGGGCGAGTGACTGCACGGAAAAGGTAAACAAATTAAAAAAAGTAAATGCTTTATTCCCGGCAGTGCGAGGTACGCCTGTGTAGGTATGATCATGATATACAAGCAAGTATGTCTGATACTTATACAAAAATATAGCAAGTTAACCAGTGGCATACTGGATTTGTATATATATATATGTATATATATGTGTATATATATATATACACATATATCTTCGGGTTTACACTGGTAATGGGGTGTGTGGTTGAAGCTGTGGTTGGTGCAGTGCAAGCCACCAATGGTCCCTCTGTAGTCGCAGGCGTCCTGTGGCTGGCGACACTGAGGCAAATCCAGGAACGGATGCCGCCAATCATGTGTAAGTTGCCAATCCGTGAAGCGTTGCTAATTAGGGCCTATCAATTTTTGCTTTGTGAATGGAAACTTGAGTCAAGGTATTAAATTGCCTTGGTCTTGATTATTAAGTTATGTTTGGTGTGCTAATTCTTCCCATGTATATATTTGTATTGCGTGGCGGGAGAGCCCATAGTGCGCTGAGACTGGTGGTGGCTAGATCTTGACAGATGGTCTACTCACTGCTACTACTGTTATGCTATGGGCTCATGTCCTGGACACCTTCTCGTGGCGATCGCTGGGTGGGAGTTGGATTATGCCCTTCTCCCTGTTAAGATCCAGGACACCAATCCGCATGAGTCAGTGAATTGACCATGTCCTTGACCCCCTGCCTTTCGGGTGTACCTTTAATCGAAGACTTTGGCTGAGGAGCCGAGTCCTCCTGTCAGGTATGGGCGCCCTGGCAGTATCCTAGTCCATCCTCTTCGGAGGTTAGGAAGTGATCGATGGCCCACTTCCCGTAAAACCTAGCCATGGGAGACGACAGGTCTACGGGTTATAAGCTCACAGCTCGATTGGCGTAGAACACGAGCGCCATGCATTGTCTCTGACGGTGGGAGGGCACCGGGTGCTCAATGGTTTGTTACTGCCCGCCCCGAGCCAGACAACCCCTGGTCAAATTGGTGCAGACCCGCCAAAACACACCTGCGTCTGACCACGGTCGCAGCTGCTACTACGGTCGCAAAACATGTATGAACTGTTCTATATCTCCAAAGGCTGCGTGTGACGGCCGTCAAGCAGCTCCCAATCTGTCTCTGCATTCACATTCCTGAGCTGGATCTTCTCCCCACTGCCTTGTGGGTCAGGCTATTGAGCCAAAGGCTCCGGGTGGAGTCCCTCAAGCAAACCTCCGACGCACAACGACCACCTCACGTGCGATTGCCCACAATGCAATCGTATGCCTGCGCGCAAAGCACTCAGCATCGGGTGCTGGGACTTGCGACCACTAAAGGACCGCCACTCGAGTGAGCGATGCATGGCAGTGGTCGCGATGGAACTGGCGCGCTACAACATCGATATTGCAGCTCTCAGTGAAACCCGGCTCGCTGATCAAGGTCAGTTGCATGAAGGCGGTACTGGCTATACGTTCTACTGGGTGGGCAACGCCACCTCAGCACCACGTGAACATGGGGTCGGATTTGCAATGTCTGCTCGTCTCAATGGCCAGCTCGTGAGTGGACCAACAGGCATCAGCACGCGACTGATGACTGCTCGCCTCAGACTCGGAGGAAGTAAGTTTGCGACGTTTATAAGCACGTACGTTCTGGCCATGTGTTATGCTGATGACACGCGTGATCAATTGTACACTCAACTATCCTCCGTGATACGGTCTGTGCCGAGGAGCGACAGACTGTTTCTGCTAGGTGATTTTAACGCGCTTGTTGGGCGTGATGCATTGATGTGGACAGATGTCGTCCGTCCGCATGTCATTGGTGCAGCGAATGTGAACGGTGACAGACTGCTCTCACTGTGTACCACACACGGCCTGACGATCACGAACACTCGGTTTGCACTGAGTGCGAGTGATATAGCAACTTAGACGCACCCACGGAGTGATCACGCTCACCTGCTCGACTATGTCATCGTACGTCAGAGTGATAGGCGTGAAGTGCGCATGACACGTGTACTGCGTGGAACTGTGTATGACACTGATCACAAATTGGTGTGGACCAACTGTGGATATATTTTCGTAAATCAACGTTTTGTACTCCCGCCGTGAATCGGCGTAAATTTAACATTCCCTGCCTCGGTACTGTGGCGAAACGTATTGAGCTGGAGGCGATGGCTGCACGACTGTGTGATGTGGAATGCATAGTCACAGTGGGCGACTTGTGGCACAACATTCGCGATCAGGTGACAGCTGCTGCCGAGGAAACCATCGGGCGCGCAAACTGTAAGCGGCCTGATTGGTTTGATGAGAACAATGCGACAGTTGGCGCATTGGTGTCGGAGAAGAATGCAGCATTTGCTGCACATGTAGCAGACCCCAGTAACTTGGGGAAGAAGCACGAGTTTGGGCAAATTCGACGACGATTGACCCGAGAGCTTCGTCGCGGTAAAAATGCATGGTGGACGGAAAAGGCGAAGCAGATGGAATGCTATGCCGAACGCCGCCAACACGAAGAATTCTTTGACTCTTTGAAGGTGGTGTGTGGACCTAGATTGGAGCCGTTGAGGATGCTGATTGATGGTAGTTCAGACTCCACCTGCACACAGACTGCAGATAGAATGCAGATCTGGTAAAAACATTGACTGTCTCTTAACAATCGTTCAGAGATTGACTGGCCTACACTGAATGGTCTGAAGCCGCACAATGTGAAGGCGAATCTCACGGACACACCGACACTGGATGAGACGCAGAGAGCACTCGTTCAGTTGTGAAACGGCAAGTGTGCCGGTGCCGACGGTGTCACGCCTGAAGTATTGAAAGACGGCGCACCTGCAATGGTGACAGCGTTGCGCTATTTGGTGCAGCGCGTATGGATTGAGGAGGAGGTGCCTCCTGAGCTGAAAATTGCGCTTGTGCTACCACTGTACAAGGACAAAGGGAGCAAACAACGTTGTACGAGTTATCGTGACATCAACTAGCTGAGTTGTGTGGGCAAGGTGATTGCTCGAATCCTGCTCAACCGCCTCGTCAGTCAGGTTGTGGAGCCTAACGTGGTGGAAGAGCAATGCGGATTCCGTTCGGGTCGCAGCACTATAGATATGGTGTTTGCGGTTCATCATTATCAGAAGTGTAGAGAACGGCACCAGCCGTTGTACTCGCTTTTTGTTGGTTTCACCAAGGTATTTGCTACGGAGAACCGCGGAGCATTGTGGAAGGGTCTTGGGTAAATTTGGCTGTCTGCGTAATTTTGCAAGTTTAATTGCATGTGTGCACAGTGGTATGCGAGCGAGGATGCAGCTAAATGGACAGATCTCGGATGACTTTGCAGTTGTCTCTGGTGTGAAGCAAGACTGTGTCTTAGCTTCTGCCCTGTTTAATATCTATCTTCATGCCATGATGTCTTGTGCTTTTGATGACGCTTGTGCTTACGGTGTTCGTGTGGAGCACCGTATTGATGGTGGGTTTGCTGAACATCCGTCGTTTCGGTGCGAGAACCGTAGTCTGTGAGACAACTATCCGTATGCGGCTGTTTGCTGACGACTGTGCGTTGTTTGCACACAGCTCGGCAGAGCTGCAGCACATGACCAGTGCTCTGGCTTCGACAGCAGCCAAATCTGGGCTCACCATTAACATAAGCAAAACTGTTTGTCTCTTGCAACCTTCACCGGAGGCGCAAGCTGCAATGGTGCCGCGAATCAGCATTGGAACTGAAGTATTGAAAACCATCTTCCGCTTCAGCTACCTTGCGTGTGTGATTTTGACTGATCAGCAGATATGCAGTGAACTGCGTATCCGCGTCTCAAAGGCAGCGGCGGTATTCGGAAAGCTAGAGTACCGAGTGTGTAAAAGCCATCAGCATACCATTGTCACGAAGCTGATGGTGTAAAAATTCATGGTGCTGTCCGTTCTTCTATACGGCAGCGAAACGTGGACGATGTACCGTCGGGA